AGAGAGAGAGAGAGAGAGAGAGAGAGAGAGAGAGAAAAGAGAGAGAATGAGAGAGAGAAGGGATATTAAGAAGGAGAAAGAAAGAGAAAGAGAGAAATTGAGAAAGAAAGAAAAGGATATATTATGGATATATAACTATTGTACTGAGATGAACAAACTAAAGCCTCGATAGATAAGTAGACAAAAAGCTGCCTAAATGATACCTTTTGTGATGAATCCCATCAAACACTATAAATCTAGCTAATAAATTACATAGCATTTTTATATGAGCCTTTAAGTGTTTCAAGAATGTAAGTATGAGGTAAGCATTGAACAGGCCTATGTTTGTTTACGAACCGTGAAGATTGACTAAAAGTTCCAGCACCTGTCAATAAATCTCCGGAACAGAATTTTTTTTTTACCCCCTCAGAGTGCCACCGGAGATAGCATTGAGATCGGAAACTACTCTTTAGCGATATCACTAAATCTCACCCCCACGTGCGAAAATGTCTAACATTAGTCCTTTTGAGAAACTCAGTTGTTGATTTTGTCCCCAGAGTGTATCTCGTTGAGTCATTAATTTTCATTTTTCTTGGAGATTTACAGGAAACTTTGGAAAGGTCGGGGTATGTATGTGTGTAATTCCCAAGGATTGCATAATTAAAAAAAAAAAAAATCTTAAAAAACTTGTTAAAGCACAGGAACATGTCTAATCGAGTATAATTCTCACTATACTACTCTGCTATGTGGATTAGTAAGCAAGGAGCCTGTCTTTTTTCTTCTTCTTGCTCAAATAGCATAACGAAATTATAAAAAAAAACAACCCTGAAATTCTGTACATTTCTACATAGACACACACGCACATACATACATACATACATACACACTCACACACACACATACACACACACATACACACACACATACACACACACACATAAGCAGGCTCATACACTTTTCACATTATTGGTATGCGAAAAAAGGTATTACATCCTGTGCATTTTTTCCATTTCATTCTGTGTTCTGTTTTGTCCAGAAATGAGTTGCGTTCACGATTTTAGAAAGGTCTTCTTGATTATTATTACTATTTCTTTCTGCTTTGATTAATTCCCAGATTTGGATGGGTTTCTTTTTTGAAAAGTCGAACATTGTATACAAAATACGCATCTGGGCCATTCCAGCCGATCAGTATAAAAATATTAAAAGTCGAGACCTCTGAGGGCCAAGAAACCTGTGTGGGATTCTTCCTATTTTTTTAAAAATCACAAGCAATTCAAGTTCATGAAACCCTCTTTGGGATTACAAACCAGGGCGAACTGCACCGTAGTCCTGCATGATACAAACCGAAATAGCTCTTCAATTTTTCATTTAGAAGACTGTCTTCCGACCCCGCCTGTCAGGACCAAGCTGGGCTGAAAGGGAGACAACATCCCAGCAGAAAGACCGAGGTACTAGTTTTAAAAAATTCTCCCCACTCCCGAATCAAACTCGAGTCTCCTGGGTGCAACAGCCAAACGCCTAACCACTACACCACAGACGCCTGCAGCTAGCTCTTCGGGGTCAACAAGTGCTTTATCATTTAATAGGGAATTTCAGGGTTATTGGCAGGGAATTTCTAGGCATTATGATCCTCACGTGATGTGAAGAGCAGGTGGCACAACATCTGCACCAATTCTATCTCATGCTTTTCGGGTTTTTGACGCCAGAAACGTACCGAATTCCTGAGGGTGACAGAAATGAAATTGCAGACATTCGGACCAGGATTACAGATAGCATTACCCCACTGCTGCCACGAACAGCTGCTTATCATGTCCAAAATCCCCCCTCCCCTTCTTCTTCCCTCAATTCTTTTACGTAACTCTTTATAAAATCCTATAATATTGTTCACTTTATAGCCTTCCCCCCACCCCCCTTTTACCCTATTCCCTTATTCCAGTTTGTTCTGACCCACATAACGTGTAACCTCTTCTCTCACATATACGAAGTCTCCCCCACCCCCTTTTTTCTGCCCCTACATACACAGACACACACATACACCCATACACACATGCACACAAATATTACACACACACACACACACACACACACACACACACACACATATATATATATATATACACATGCACACACACACATGCACACACACACATACCTTCCGTTCTGATCTCTTCGATTTTCTAAAACTGGTACACTTTATACATATATTACAACGATTTCTTTGGTTTTCAAGTCGTTCAGCTGGAAATAAAAGGTGAAGTCGATGTTATCAGGACAGCTCAAAAGGAGTCTCTTTTATAATCATACAAAAAGTGTAACAAATTTTGATTATGATTTACAGCCGGCACCTAGATCTAGTACCAAAGGTGTCATCATACTTTTGGAGCTTAGTTTGCGAAGAAGTTTTGACTATTTCTTCAGTCTCAGATAACAAAAAAAAATCGTATCAAAGTGTACAACACAGGCAGATAGCCACAAATTTATGAGAGAGAGAGAGAGAGA